CTGGGGCGGGGGCAGGAGGAGGAGGAGGAGGAGGAGGAGGAGGAGGAGGAGGAGGAGCAGGAGGAGCAGGACTACGCCAACCTCGATGGTTCCAAGACGGGGTCCTGAGTTAGGAGGCAACTACTGGGAGGTTTTCGTCGGAAAGAGTAAGGAGGAAAGCCCTATCTGGGAGCTGTTACGCTGGAGCGGGCCTCGGACTGAGCAGGATTAAGCCGGAGTAAGCGGGATTAAGCGGGATTGAGCCGGATTAAGCGGGATTAAGCCGGATAATGCCGGGTTAAGCCGGATTTCGGACCAGGGCAAAATCAGAATTTGACCTCCCAGGAGTTGCACCCGAACCTGAGGCTTGGGGTCCTGAGGGCGAGGTGCCTCAAACAGTGTAAATCTACCCTTGGATCCCTTCCAATCCTTAGGACCCCATCCCTCAGGACCCCGTCCCTGAACCACCGGCAACGGCAGACCAGCATCGGCCCTGGCCAGGCCCATCCTGACCCCAGGGTCGTGGGTGCCAGAACCCCTCAGCCGTGACTTTTTTCGCGCCGCGAGAGGCTCTGGGATCGAGGGCCACACATCGACCCCTGGTCCTGGGGCGCGCTCTGACCAGCATTGGCGGATCCGGCCGTGGCCACCAAAGCCCCACGGAAGCCCAAAAACAACAAAGGACGTGCAAAACCTGGAGGGTCGAAGTTCGATCCTCGATCTTCGAACCCCTAGGGGTGTGGGCCTGGCGCCTTGGCCACCCAGATTGGACTGGAATGTGAATGTAATCTTCTCGAGGACCCCCTCTCGGGCGGCAAAAGGAGAGGCCCACCGAAATCGGCGAGCCCAGAACGTACGGATAGAAGGAGGAGGAGGAGGAAAGGGAGGGGGAGGGGGAGGAGGAGGGGAAAAGAGGAGGAGGGACGACCAAACAACCATATTGACCATGGCAGCTCAATGTCAGCCAACGGCAATGCATACATATAATAGTACATAATTATACCTATACGACCACCCTTCGGGTGATAAGGAGGTTGTGGGGGAGGGGGAGAGGGGGGGAACCAACATCTGACTCAATCGATCTCACTATCGATCTCACTCAACGGGACACCACGGGACACCACGGGACACCACGGGACACTTGTCGATCTCACTATCGATCTCACGATCGATCTCACTCAACGGGACACCACGGGACACCATGGGACTCACGGGACACCACGGGACACCGTGGGACACCTCTCGATCTCACTATCGATTTCACTATCGATCTAACTCAACGGGACACCACGGGACACCACGGGACACCTCGGGGCACCACATCAATCTCAGTATCGATCTCAGTATCGATCTCACTATCGGTCTCACTCAAAGGGACACCACGGGACACCACGGGATACCACGGGACACCTGTCGATCTCACTATCGATCTCACTATCGATCTCACTCAACGGGACACCACGGAATACCACGGGATACCACGGGACACCACATCGATCTCAGTATCAATCTCAATATCGATCTCACTATCGATTTCACTATCGATCTCACTATCGATCTCACTCAACGGGACACCACGGGACACCACGGGACACCACGGGACACCGCGGGACACCACGGGACACCACGGGACACCGCGGGACACCGCGAGCTACCGCCGGACGGACGGACGGACGGGCGGGCGGGGGAGAATCATTTGTCTTGACTTCGCCCTAGCAGCGGCGGACACCACGGGACACCGCGGGACACCGCGGGACACCGCAAGCCACCGCAGGACGGACGGACGGACGTGCGGGCGGGGGAGAATCATTTGTCTTGACTTCGCCCTAGCAACGGCGGACACCACGGGACACCACGGGACACCACCGGACACCGCGGGACACCGCGAGCCACCGCTGGACGGGCGGGCGGGGGAGAATCATTTGTCTTAACTTCGCCCTAGCAACGGCGGGTTCATTCCTCTCGCGCGCCCACGCAGCTTCGACTCGCCCGCACGCACGACATGAACGAAACGAACGATTCCCCGGTCGGGGGTCTCCGTTCCACTGCGATCTCACCCCCCAACCTCCGATGTAAATGTATATATAACTGAATTGGCGCTTCGCGCCATGCACCGTGGTCCTTGTAGCTTGTCATGCAGACGGGAGGGCTGAAGGTAAAAAAAAAAAAAAAAAAAAAAACAATTTAGCGATAACGCCGTGTTGCCTTTCCCTACAGCGCCGCTAGAACAATGCTACTCATAATCCTTCCCTCAGACTTCCTTTTTCTCTTTCTCCTTCTCGCTCTACCCTGCGAACTCTTCCACATCCTCCTCATCTCTTTTTGCGGAGGATCCTCCTTGGAGAGCCTCTTGGGGGCCTCACAAAAATGTCTGACAGATTATTGGGGCCTTCTGGAGGCCTCCTGCGCGCCTTCTGGAGGCCTCTGGGGGCTTCCTCGGCCCACCCTGCTTCCAACCGCAGTCTCCTTGAACGACCGGGTCACGATTTGGAATGCTTCGGGGGGCGTCTTGGGGACATCCTGGGCCGTCATGGGGCTCTCTGTGGGCCATCTTGGAACCCTGTTCTGCCGTATTGGGGGTCTCTTTGGACTGCCTGGAAGCCCTTTCGAACAGTCTGGGGGGCGATTTTCGGGCCTCGTGGGCGATCTCGGACGCCCAGAAGACCGAAGCACTCCCAAAATCACTAACGAAGTTTAAAAAATTGGAAATGCATGTTCTCCTGCGTGTCGAAAGCCTCTTGGGGGTCTTCTTTGGGTCGTCTTCGGGCGTCTGCTGCGCGTCCGAGGCCTCGTGGGGCCCTCGGGGGGCCGTTCGGCCGCCCTCCCGACCGCTTTGGGCCCGTTGCCCAGGCCCAGCAGGGGCGGCCAGGACATCCAGAAAGCCTGGGGGGGGGCTTCCGCAGGGGCGTCCAGGGGGGACCCTGGGGCCACGGATCCGGGGGTCTCGTTTCGGGGAGGGGTGTCACACCCGCCCGGCAGGTAAAAATACAGGAAAGGAGATATCAGTGTGTATAGATATATACATACAAACATACAAACATACATACATACATACATACATACATACATACATACATACATACATACGTACGTACGTACGTACGTACATACATACATACATACATACATACATACACACACATACATACATGCATACATACATACATACATACATACATACATACATACATACATACGTACGTACGTACGTACGTACGTACGTGCGTGCATGCATGCATGCATGCATGCATGCATACATACACATACATACACACACATTTTTGCTACCACACAAAGATATGCATTATTTGTTTGTATGTGTATGTGTTCATTAACTTGTTCGTACATGTGGGCAGTGATGTGTGAAGTTATGGGTTTCGTTATGTAGTAAAGTATCATGTGCTCAGTCGTTCAAAGATTGATGTAAAGACGCATTAACGTATACATGAGCATATACATATACATATACCTATACATATGCATATACATATACACATACATAAACATATGCATATACCTATACATATACATACACCTGTACAAACAGACACATAGATATACATATATACATATACATATACATACACATATACATATACATACACAAATACATATACATATGCAAATGCACATACATATACACACATACAAATACATATACATATACACATGCACATGCACATACATATACGTATACACAAAAAATAAATATACATATACATATGAATATACATATACACATATACACAAACATATATACATATACATATACATATACATATATGTATACATGCGCATTTACATATACATGTACATATGCATACACATATACATACACACATACATACACATATACAGATACAGTCACAAATACATATACATATGTACATGCATATACATATACATATACATATACATATACATACACATATACATATACATATACATGTACATGCACTTAAACATATGCGTATACATATACCTATACATATACATATATATATACGTCTATACATAGCCGTATACATGTACACATCCGTACACGGATACATACACATATGCATAGACGTAGGCACATGCATATCGATATGTACACATGTATTTGTGTTGCACGGGGATCAGAGGGCCCCCAAGCGCTCACATGCTCTGAACAGAATGCCCGGTACCTCCCGCGAGGCAGGGCAGGCCAGCACAGGCGGCGGAAAGAAAATGATAGCAAGCAAGCGCGCCACCACTGGCGCCACTGTCGGCGACACAGCGTGCACCCAACTCGGGCAGTCGTCTGGCTCCCTGGTGGGGCTCGGCTTCGGAGTCCCGGGCGGGACGCAATGATGTCTCGCGTAACATCGTGCAACGGCCAGCGTGCCGTTGCGACAGACATTGCAAATTTGGATCTGCATACAAGAACTGCGTGTTGGCCCCATTCGGGCACAGGCGCCACGAGCGGCGCAGCCGTGCAGTTACTACAACCACTACGAGACCAAGAGTGGCAGCTCTGTTGTCGCTCGAGGTCACCAGGCGTGCACGGGCGTCTTGCATCCTAGATTGCAATGTTCCTGGGGGGCTCTATCGCGCAGAATTTTCTCCGAGCAAATCTGGCGAGCCAGCTCAGACAGTGAGAGCGCTTAATCGTGACCCCCCCAAAGCGGTCACTGACACCCCTCAACGTTAGCCTTGTAGAAGATGACCGGCAAATGCAATCGGAGAGACCGATTGATGCTCTGCCAGAGCGCGCCAAGAGCCAGGGGTGGCACGGGGGACGCACCGACGTCGTCCGACTTTGCGTCCGAAGCGGCTGCGCCCCAGAGTTGCCTGCGCGACAATATCGGACTTCTGCTCCACGTCGACGCCGGCGTCGAGCCTGGGGAACGGCTCCACCGCAAGGAGGGGGTCTCCGCGCTGCAGGCGATGGGCGGACTTGGGGCGCCTCCACGCGGCGGCGAGGTCGCCCGCAAGGTCACCTCCCCAAAGCTCTCATTCACATCGAGCTGGCGGGGCGGCCGTTGACCTTGGCCTTGACT